GGCCTCGTGGGGGCTGGTCTGCGGCCGAGGCTCCGGGACCCAGCACCGCAGCGCGAGGTCCCCGGGACGCCTGGGCGGCTTTGGAAACCGAGGCAGGCTAGTGAGTGTCCAGGAGGAGGGAGTGAGATGGGGGTGGCAAGGCCCAGAGAGGAAGCCACAGCCTGGCTTGAGGGCACCTGGGGTTGGCTGAGGGCCGAGATTTTAGGATGTCTGGTTGCCCTTTGTAGTTTGGGGAAGTTTCCGACCACCGCAGGATAGTCAGACGGTGGTTCAGACTTTTACCATTGGGGACGGTGGTGCATGTCAACACTTCCGTCCTGGCTGTGTAACTTTCGCGGGTTCCAGTACCTTTCCAGGGGGTTACTGCTTTGGGAAGTTAGAGATCTCCCTCTTTCGGTCAGTTTCTTCTTGACGCTCTAACCCTGTTGAGAAGGATGTTTCATTTTATATTTTACGTGCTTTGATTGACACTTTGTCAACACTTGAATGTTGTATAGCAGTACTCTGTAGGTATAGAGTGTGCAGTGTTATTGGTATCCTACACCAAAGCATTCCTCCATATCAGGTGGTAACCTTGGACAGTTCCCTTTAAAAACCCTCAGTTTATTTATAAAGAGGACTTGCGGGGGCGGGGTTGAGGAGGTGCAGGTGACTGTTGGTGACCCTTTTCAGACTGCAATTTCCAGGTGTCCTAGGCCGGTTATTAAGTGGCGCTAACACCTCAGCAGTGACCTCAGTACCCTCACCAAGGTTTATGAATCATTTGGAGCATTGGAGTGCAAGTGGTAATCTTTGACTTTTTGAGACAGGCAAGGATTTTAGCTTTCAGGCTGTCTCGGCGTTATTTCTGTGGAACTGTCTAATGCAGGCCAAGTGGCCTATTCATCTCTGTTCCCTGAGCATCTAGCAACACCTGGCTAAATACATGGTGACTGAGGGAAGCTAAATAACTCATTATTGAAGGAATGACATGTTATCTTTCAAGAATACTTGAAAAGTTTTTAGGATATGAGATTTGTTTATAGTAGTACCACAATTTAAACTTTTTGTCTTGTCATGGATACCTTTGTATCAGCAAATAATTATTTATCTTTTTTAAGCTTGTCTGTAATGATGATTTTGAGTTCTGATATTGTGATCCATTTGTCTCAAAGGAATGCCATTGGATTTGCCAAACACAATTGACTTTATTTCAGGAGCATTTCCAAGCTTATAGGGAAGGAGGGGTTGCAAAAAATCTGAGGATGGGATCACAATTTCCACTACTTTGTTAGCACTGTTTATAGAATAGAGGTCATGGACTACTTCGGAAATGGCATGCCATGTCTTCATGCTCAGACAGGCCATTGCCTGTATGCGGATGTACTTGGAAGAGACTGGGGAATTAATCACGTATACACAGGTGAGGAGCAGCCCAGCATGACCTACAGCCTTGGATGAAAGAATAGCTTTCTTCAGCCTTCAACTCCTGTCAGTCCATGCAAACGTGGACAAAATGCCAGGGTTACACAGGCTAAGAAAACCATCTGCCACAGGTTGCAGAATCAGAAAATAAAACTAACTGCTAGGCTCTGGATTGTGTATTAAATTTTTTTTAAGTAAATGGTTTTTTAAAAATTGCTTATCCAGTGACTCTTTTGTAATTTATACTTTTTCAAACACATCTATAAATTCTCTGTGAAAACTTGGCAAAGGGCCATTACTGGAGAATAGAGAACATTAATGAAATGCTAGATGAGCCAACTCCCAGACCACAAACATAAAAACCACCTTGTTATCAGTCTTTATAAGATCATAAATCAAGTATTACCAGGTACCCAGAAATTCAGTCTCTTTTAGGCCCATATGCAAAAGTGAATTGTGTGTTTAATTTTATGTGAGTGCTTTGTTTGTGGCCTTAATATGGAGACTAAGAGCCTGTTATAGCAAAAGGGCCTCAGGATATTTACAGCAAAAGTATTTGAAAGCATGGAAATTGTCCATCACCAGAAAGTGTAAATTCTAAGCACCTTTGTGGAAAATTAGGAGGGTATGTAAATGGTGAGAATGTTTTAGTGGAGTGCTATAACCATCTCTTGCTTGCAGGAATTCTCAGCAAGGAATCAGAAATTTAATCTTTATTATAATGATACTACTTAATTTGAATACCTTCTGTCTTTTTCTTTGCTTTTCTTTGCATTTTTTGTGTGGAGTTAGCTGCTGTTTTTGTGAGTCTTTAAAAACAACCTTAGGGAGGGCTGATTTTGTGTGTGACCAGTTTCAAATGTGAGTCAAGAAACCTATCTTACTACTCATCTCTTGCTCCCTGCTCTGGCCATATATCTTTTCATGCCTTAACCAAGTCCTGTCTGATGCCTTTGCCCATGCTGTTCCCTTTGCTTAGAATGCTCTTCCTTCAAAGGTTCACCCTGGCTAGCTCCTCATTTTAGGCTCAGCTTAAATTTCACTTCTTGCTTTGGCTGGTAGCTCAGCTGGTTAGAGCATCGTCCCTATAAGCCAAGGTTGCAGGTTTGATCCCTGGTCAGGGCACATACAGGAATCAACCAGTGAATGTATAAATAAATGGAACAACAAATTGATATTTCTCTGTCTCACTCTTTCTCCTGCTTCTGTCCCTCTTTTCTCCTTCCACTCTGTCTAAAACCTATAAATAAATAAATAAATATTATTTTAAAAAAATGTTCACTTCAGTTAGAACTTACTTGTCTCTAGAGTAAGCCTTGTGAATCTATGAACAGTTTATTGGTAAATCGATTTTTAAAATTTTATTGATATTTTTAGACAGAGAAAGGAAAGGAGAGGGAGAGGAAGAGAAACATTGATGTGAAAGGGAAAAAATCAAATCAGCTGCCTCATGCACCCTACGGAGGACTGAGCCCAAAACCTGGGGATGTGCCCTGAGCAAGAATCGAACTCGCAACCTTTTTTTTGGTGTATGGGATGATGCTTCAACCAACTGAGTCACCTGGTGAGGGCACTTTGAGTAGTTTTTCTTTTTTTAATCCTCACCTGAGGATACTTTTTCCATTGCTTTTCAGAGAGAGTGGAAGGGAGAGAGAGAGAGAGGAGAGAAGAGAGAATGAGAGAGAAACATCAATGTACATCAATTGGTTGCCTCCCGCATGCACCCCAGTGGGGGCCGGGGACTGAGCCTGCAACTGAGTCACGGGCCCTTGGCTGCAATTATACCCAGGACCCTTCAATCTGCAGGCTGGCTCTCTAACCACTTAGCAAACTGGCCAGAGCTTGAGTAATTTATTTTAAAAGAAAATTTCCCTGAATTTATTAGTTCAAGTGATTCTTTGGGCCTGTTTCTTATCTTCATGCTTCCCTCCCTTTAATTAATTTTAAAATAAAATTAAAATATATATATATCTTTATTGATTTCAGAAAGAGTAGGAGAGAGAGAGAGAGAATCATCAATGATGAGACAGTCATTGATTGGCCGCCTCCTGCACTCCCCCTACTGGGGATCAAGCCCACAACCCCCGCATGTGCCCTGACTGGGAATCAAACGCTGATCTCCTGAATCATAGGTGGATGCTCAACCACTGAGCCACAGCTGGCTGGCCTTTAATTTATTGATTGATTTGTGAGAGAGGAAGGGAGAGAGAGAGAAATAGATTTGCTGTTCTACTTATTTATACACTCATTGGTTGATCCTTGCATGTGCCCTGACTGGAGATCGAACCCACAACCTTGGTGTATGAGGAAGATGCCCTAACCGACTGAGCTCCCAGGCCAGGGTGCACCATTGTTTTCAAAGTGAGGGTTTAGTTAGCATGATTGGGTGGAGGGAGATTGCAGATTAAATGAAGATGCATCTGCTTCACCTTCCCTCCCCTCTCCGTGCATGACAGAAGCGTAGATGGAGAGAGTGGGCTGAAGAGAGAATACCTTTGTTGGGAAGATGTGTTTGTGACTGCTGTGCTGTGGCTTGCCTTAAAATATTGGGGTGATTAAGTGCACAGATGAAAAACTGAGAATTTTTCTAATTAACTTTTCCCCAGTGAAGCAGCACTTAAAGCAGTAACAAAA